AATACAACCAACTTCGGTTCTACCCGGAGATGAACATTTTTGGGGTACAGGTCTTGCTGTGCATTCCAGGCTGTCCTCAGACTCACTACGTAGCCCAGGCTGTCTTTGCACTTGCAGTGATCCTCCTGTCTCAGCCTCCTGAGTGTTGGGATTACAGGTGTGCACCTCCATGCCCAGCTGGAACTATTTCAACTGTCATGTGTGCTCCTAAGAGCCTCAGTACAGAAATGTATACAGTGTAAGTTAAGGTGGTCAAAGCACCTCCTCCCACTGCCTCCAGCCACCCACAGGGACAGGTGCACAGCCCTTCCAGGCCGCTCCGGTGCCTGTGTGAGTGTGGACACGGGAGGATAGCAAAACTCCACACCACACCTGCTCTCCAGCTTGCTTCTCCCTAGGACACATGGACTGCACATCAATATTTTGCGTTAGTGGTTGCGTAATATTCCACTGCCGCCATTGTCACAGTTTTGGTGATGTCCCCTACGGGTGGATAGGTGAACTGTTTGTGAGGACACTCGTGTGTGGGGTTAAGAATTTCCTGATACCAGGATGGCCTAAAGCCATGCCTTTCTGTTTAGTTTCCAGCTACTTCTCTGACCCTCAGAATTGAGATCTCGGAACCACCCACCCCACTGTCCACTTCCACTCCTGCAGAGGAAAAGCGAGTGTCCCCCGCCCGCCCCTGGCTTTCCCGCCCATCACCACTGGCCGTGCTGTCTGTGGAGCTGGCTGGCCTGAGCTTTGTCCCCTGGGCCACAGCCAAGAACGTGGGAAGGGCAGTAAGAGGGACTGGGCAGTATGTTGGTTGTGCAACTGAGTCACCATCTCTGGGGAGACCTCACGGAACACAGCAGGCTGCTGGGGGACTGGCGAATCTCGGGGCCTCCAACGTGGCTGGGAGCAGAGGGACTTTAAAACTTCCATGTTCCTGACCTTCCTCCTCCAAGCCCATCAGCCCAGAAAGTTCTGAACGTACTGCAGGTCCTGCAGCTCTGAAGGTGGCAGATGACTGAATCCTGAACTTCCAGGCAAGCGGAAGGGTCTCAGGGTCAGGCTGGTCACAGGCAGGAGAAGGCAGGGAGAGAAGAAGTGGCCTGGCAGCCAGAGCCTGGATGGAGTATTACTCAGCTGTCAAAAATGCTACTGGATCATTGAACACAGGTGAGGACAAAGACCCGCAAGGACAAGGACAAAAGGCGGGACTGTGTCTGCCTCGAGATTAAAACCTGGAAAACGTGAAAGGGCGAATGAAATGCCACCGGTTTACACTGACGTGCCTGCGTTTCCCTGCCTCTTAAACGTCTTCACTTTTTCCTCATCATTGTTATGAGAAATAAAGGGATGGGTGCAGTGTCATCCATGCTGAGCACGCCGCAGTCGCAAGGGCAGCGGGCAACTACCCAGCTGTGAGACAAATGAAACACATCTGGGGCTGCCCTGCTTTCTGCCACCAGGAAATTGTCCCCGCCGCCCAGACCTTGCTCGCGCCCTCTGCAAGGACCTGGGGTCTGGCTGCCAGCGATGACATCACACGGCGGAGCTCGGGCCACGCAGCTGCGGGGGACGCACTGCCACGGGGGATGCGTGCTCAGGGACGGGCTGGTGCGCTCTCACGGGCCTGTCACTCACAGCCTGGCGCACAGCCCTCGGCCCTCGGGCCAGGTGCCACGGTCCCCACAGCCCCTTCAGGCAGGGTGGCGCAGGCAATACACAGAAAGGTGCGTCATCAGGGCCACACTTGGGGCTGCTCTTCCCACCCCAGGCGTCCCTGCAAGGCCCCAACGGGCCAGCGTGGGCCCCACAGGCCTGTTTTGGTCCCCAGCTCCTCAGCGGCTAGACCGTTCAGGGACTCAGGTTCCAGGGCCACTGCGGTCAGGAGCAGAGGGCTCTCGACAACCGAAGAGAGCAGGGGGTGAAAGAAGGCGGGAGGGGAGGCTTCCCGACGCAGGGACACGGGGACGGAGACCCGGGGGAGGGCCAAAGAAAAGCAAGCGAATGCAGACCCGGGCCACAAGGGCCGGTCAGTGACAGTCCGCATAAGAGCACAGTGGACGGAAGGTTTCCCTCCGCCTGGTGAGGCGGTGGCCGAGGTCACTCCGCAGCGAAGTGCACTGCAGGGCGACGGTGGACGGGTCAGCCGCTACGACCGCACCTGGTGCACAACGCTGGGCACATCACGGCGCCCCGGTCTGTGCATTCACTCCACTGTGCTCACCACTGTTGCTCCAGCGCGCACCCCTCCTGTGCAGGGAAAGATCATGGAAGACAGTGCTGCGTGCTGCCAGCAGCAGCCTCACACACCTCGGCTCTGCTCAATCCCACAACTCATCTTAAGGCCACGGGCAGAGGGTAACCCGAGCCACCTGGGTTTGCTTGTGTGTGCTCTGATGCTTGCGTGATGACTAAACCACTTAGCAAGGCACTCCTCAGCCTACAGCCTGTTAGTAAGGGACACATGACTGAATTCCAGGGGAAAAGCAGACAGAACAGGGTGTGCAAAGGCCCTGGGGCAGAACAGCAAAGAATCCATCTGGCTGCTGAACTGAGAGCTGTTCAGAACCTGCTGGCGGCCAGGAGGGATGTGGGGAGACCAGCAAGGGAGGTGATGCAGGGCATAGCCTGGACCTGGGGCCGGCAGAAGCAGCAGGACCCAAGATGTGACCTGGACCAACTGTATGCCATCGGTGATGCCGTCACCTGTTAAGGAAGACACTGCCGATTGAACTCAGTGCAGCACCCCATGAGATGGAGGCGCCGTCCATGAGGTGCTTGCTGGGTCCTCCCTACAGAGACAGCTGGGTCAGCTGCAAAACTTGAGGCCGGGCACAGCAGGACTACCTGTCAGTTCCCCAGGCTCTGGCTTGACACCTCCCGTGTGGCACTGTCAGAGGTGACACGTCTTCTGCACGCCCGACTTGGGTAGTGCTCACTGGGTGAGAACAAAGCTCCTCAGATTTGTACAGCCGTCTCTGGGGGATGTGGTGGGTACCCCAACGCTGCACCCACGCTGGGCATGCTGGGGGAACCTGGGCAATGTGGGTGGGGCATAATCCTGCTAAGATGGAGGAGATGTGCCCTGTGGAGCTGGGGTACGCGGTTCCACTTCACCTCCACAGCAGGGTGGCCTTGGGCAAGGTCCTGCCAGCCCCGGGTCCTTCCTCCATCGAAAGGGGGGAGGAGGATGGTCCGGCCACCCGGTCAGCTTAAGGGTAAGACGGGACCCTCAGAGCTTAGCTTCGGCAAACAGCACGCACTACTGATGCGCTCATAATTTAGAGGCGCAGGGAAAAGAGGAGGGAGGGAGACGGAGGGGAAACGGGTTTCCTAGGGCTCCTGGTGATAGCAACCAGCCACAAAACTCCCAGGCTCAGCCGTCTCTGCCAGGAACAGCGGCCGGGAGGCGCGGTGGTGTAGCTCTGGGGCCACCTCTTGCCATTTTGAGCTCACTGGGGTGACAGAGGTCCCTGCAGGAAGCCCTCAGGTACTGTGGCCCCCGCTGGGACGGCCTGACTCTGCCCGGTGCCTCCTGGGTCTGTGTCCTGCGGACAGCGGTGGTGGGGGTCCCCTGGGTAGGGAGCAGCGGCCCTCCCCCTGCTCGCCTCGCTGGGCTTGGGGAGGTCTCTCCGCACAGCCGCCTGGATCTGGGACAGCTGTCCCATTCATCAGTTCTTGAGAATACACAAGAAAAAAGGGGAAGTGCAGAAAGGGAAATCGGCCCAATGTGCACGACGGGCTGGTCTCGGGGGCCAATGGGGCAGAGGAGGAGGAGCCAGGAGGAGCACAAGAGGGTCCCAGTGCCACCCTGGAAACACACAGTGGCCCAGGATTGGCCATGGGCCCTCAGGCCCCGCCCCTGGGGACACAGCGGACCCCAACACTTGGCAGAGCTGTGACATCAGACGGGCTGCTTTGGAAAGGTATTTCCTCTGAAAGCTGGTCTTCCCATTCAATACGGACGCAGCTGAGACCTTCCTGGACAGGCCTCTGTCCCCCACCTCCCCTGGGGGGCTGGCACCTCACAGCAGGCAGCTCGACCTCCGACCTGGCACAGCCCGCCGACACACACACTTTGGGGGGAAGATCGCAGTCCTCTCGCGCGAACCCCTCTCTCTCTGCCCCGGCCCCCTAGTTTCCGTTCCCATATCAGAGGCGCCTCTTTTCTGCTGAGACTGCGAGACCTGCCAGCAGCACGCGCCGCCCCGCCGGGACCCGAGTTTTCGCAACCCAGCGCCTCGCTCCACCGTATCCCTCGCGCCATGAATCACGGAGGTTTAATGGGATCGGCAGCTGGGCTGGCTGCAGCACTCCGTGAGAACTTGCCCCAGCCCCACCCCGGCCCGGCTGACTGACAGCTCGCTCTCCAGGCCCCAAACAGAAAACCAGAGGCGTGGAGCCTGTATGTGCAGCAGTCAGCTCCTTCCCAGTCCCTTCAGGGTGAGGGGACAGGCACCCGCCCTGCCTGCAGTGGTGACAGGGCCGCCCGAGGGCCAGCAGCACGTGCCCTACCCAGGAGCTTGCTGCAGACTCTCAGGCCCTGGCCCCGTGTCCCAAAGGCACTGGCCCTGACCCAGGTGACCCAATGGGGGGGAAGCACCTGGCGCTGTCAGGGCGGGGCCTCCTGGGATATGGGCAGACCAAGAGGAGGGGCCGCTCTGTGTACCGGGGTCCCAGGTCAGGTCCCTGTCCCCCACTGGACCCGCAGACATGGGTGGCACACAACTAGGCCGTGATTCCCTCATCCAGCCTGAGGTCACCTGGCATCTGGGAGGACAAAGGCGCAGTGACCGCCCTCAGAGCATAGCTCTTCACAGGTGCCCCTCAGCCCACCATGCTCAGAGGAGCCCTCCGCCTAACAGCCCTTGACACCAGTTCGCCGGCCAGCCCTGACCCCCCAGCCAGAGCCCTTGCGCCCGGTCGGCCCAGCTCCTCCTGCATGCAGCCCTCCCTGTTGCCCAGCACCTCCCCCCACGTCGTCGCCTCCTCTGTCCTGGGGTTACCTCTGCACCCTGCGTCCTGCCCAGCTTCGGGTAAGGGGACCGTCACTCAGCCGTCAGTCAGCCTCGAGCCCTGGCTGAAGTCAACCATCCCGCCCATGACCCGCCCCCACGGCGCTGGCTAGCGAGTGGCCTCAGTCTCCCAGACACCTACTGGGGAATCTGGAGTTCTGGAATGTTCCTCGCAAGTGCCGGGGGACAGAGCCAGGAGAAGAGCCCAGGGTCCTCCCCTCTGGGACATCGGAGAGGGCGGAGGCAGCTCAGGACCAGCTTGTCCTCTGTGCCCTGCCGCTCGCAGGTCCCCAGGCTCCCGGCCAGGTTGGAGGAGCGCTGGCCCCAGCCTGCTGGCTGTCACCAAGGGGAAGCGGCCCTTGGTTACCACTGGCCGAACACAGAGCAAAACAAACACTGGAGGCCGCGCAGGCCTGGCTCCGCGCTGCTGGGAACAATTACAGGGCCGCGGCCACGGAGCCTCACGGCCTCCGAGAGGGGGGCCGCTGTGGAGCTCAGGGCCCTCAGACCCAGAGAAAGCAGGGAGACGGAGCTGGCGTGGAGGCCCCGGCGAGGGCAGAATCACGGCTGACCCCGGGTTCCATGCCAAGGTCTCGCAGCTTTCATCCCCGCGCCTGGCAGGTGTGGAGGTGTCAGACGCCTGTGACACCCCAGAAAGGGGTCACTGAGACCTCCGCCCAGGGCCAAGCAGAGGGTGGCGTGACCAGCTCTCTGTCCCCCAAGCAACTGTCACCAGGCACCCAGGGGAAAGTGCTCCCCTCCAGACGCAGCCAGGACAGCGGCCCCCAAGCCCCAGCACATTGGGAACCCCCAGGGTCAGGTACCTGTTCCCCGGGCCAGGGTCCCTCCTGGGCAGGGGAATCCACAGCCAGGACCTGGAGGCCCCGTGGGCAGCAGGTCCAAGCCCCCTACACACAGAAGGCGCCACCAGGTCACCTGTGTGGCTCTGCTAAGTCACCCCCGGCCCCACCTCAGCACGTGGGTCGCAGGCTGGGGGAGGGGCGGGAAGGAGGCCGGAGCGGGAGGCTGCAGGGCTGAGCTCCAGGGGCAGTCGGGACTGCGCCCCAGAGTGGTGGAGACTCGGCCCCCAGGACCGAGAGGAGAGCAGAAGGGAGGACAGAGCCAGAGCCAGCCTTGTGCTGCTCCCCACAAACTCCACCAGGGATTCCGGTCCCCAAACCAGGGGGTCTTTGAGTTAAAGCAAATTAACAACCTCACTGAGCAGCTGGGCTGGCAGCTGGCGGCTACAAGGACTTGCCGCTCTGTCGGGGCAGGGGACCTGCCGTGGAGTGATCCTCCACTTCAAACTTCTCAGTCTTTTCCTGAGAGGGGCTGGCGGGTCCCACCCACCCTGTCCCATTGTCGCAGATGAGTAGCTGGGAAGCTGAGTAGCTGGAGCTAAGAGCAGGGTCACAGTCTCTAACCCTGACGCTGACGATGTGCTGGGAATTCACATGGTACATTTCCGGGACAACTAGACAGAAACTACCGGAAAGCCCCTCTCCCTCTCCTTTTGCCCCAGGCTGATGCAGAGGTTTCTGGGAATGCCAGGGCATTCAACGCAATAATACCCTGAGAGCGAGCTGGAAACATGGTCTGGAGCCAGACGGCACGGGCCCCACGCCACAGCAGGGAGCCAGGACCTGGGCACTTGGAGCAGCCCCTGGTGGAGACCTGCAGGGACCAGATGGGGAGAGAACACTGCAGGACGCTTCCTCCACGGGGCCGTGCACCCCCGCGCTTCCGGAGGGGGACTGGAGGCAGTGTCCACAGAGAGCCAACATCCCCGTCTTCCCCCGGGGTGGTTACAGCTCCGCTGCTCCTGCAAAGGGCAGTGACGGCAGCTGTTCGCAGAACACAGCAAGGAGCCCTTGGGGGCCTCCAAGTGGGGGGCCGGCCTGTGTAGGAGGCGGTCCCCAAACATTTGCTTGAAGGCGTCAGAAAACACGCGGATGTCCTTCAGGTTTCTTTCTGTCTCCTCTGGTCCCTCCTGTTTCCCACCTTCAACGGCTTTCTTTCTTCTCATTCGTTCCCTTGGGGGACGTAGGTCAGCAAGCAGGAAGGAGGATTTAGGAAACGTCTGCCGGGTGCACGGAAAGGTTGTGACCCGAGACACACACTTCAGGAGTACGAGAGAGCACCGTGCACTTTTCCACCTGCAAAAACGTGAAGACCAAGTACCGGCTCCGGAAGACCGCGGAGAGGCGTGAAGAATATAATGCATCCCAGTGAGGTGCCCGGCACGTCCCAGCACCTTATAGGTCCTCCAGTAACGCCCAGGGCTTGCACAGCTCTGCGTGATACTCACTGGCACACAGGATGGTGGCTGTCATCGTTATTGTTCACGTGACACCCAGGGGTCAAACCCTACTGCCAAGTATCACCTTCTAGCCACTGATCAAGGGACATTGCTTCAAAGCACAAAGATGCCTTAAAGATCGGGCAATCGGAGTGCTCCGTTTTGTGGAATGGTGCAGCCCCTTCGGAGAACAGTACGGAAGCTCCTGGTAAGAACTCAGAATTACCGTCCGACCAGCAGCTCCACTTGGGGGAACACATCCCACAGAAGTCAAAGCAGGAGCCAGAGCCAATATTTGTGCGTTCGTGTTCACTGCAGCAGTTCGTGTTCACGGTAGCTGAAGGCAGAAGCCGCCCAAGTGCTCTCAGGTGACTGGATGGGTGACCAAAATTGGTACACACACAAAGAGACATACATCAGGCCCGCGAGGACATTCTGACACCTGTCACAACACTGGTGACCCTCAGGTCAGTTTGCAAAGGGAAATAAGTCACAGAAAGACAAAGGCTATAGGATTCCACTTCTCTGACGCCCCTGGAATGGTCAGATTCACAGAGGGGACAGCAGCACAGATGCCACCAGGGCTTGAGGGGAGGGGTGGGGAGTCTGTGTGTCAGGAGAGTTGCAGCTGGAGAGGATGAGACAGCCCTGAGGTGGACGTGGGGTCGGAAGCACAGCAGTGTGAATCCACTTAGTGCCCTTTTATGTGGTATTTTTGAGACAGGGTCTCGCTATGCAGTTCAGGTTGGCCTAAAACTCACTTTGCAGCCCAGGAGGGCCTCGACACTGGCAGAGATCCTCCTGCCTCAGCCTCCCGAGTGCTGGGATTATAGCCATGTGCCACCACACCTGGCCTGAACGGACTCTAGAAAGTGCTTCAAATGGCAATTTTTATGTTGAACGTATCTGCCACAATTAAGAGAGTGCTTTGCTTTATATGAAAAGAAAAGAAAAACCAGAGGCACAGAGAAGTCACTAGAAGAGGGGCCCCTCTATCCTGAGGCTGCTGAACAAGTGCTGAGCACTACTGGGAAATGGGCTGATTGTCCCAGCCTGCCTCCCTCTGCCTCTTTAGTGTGATCTACAGCCACGGCTGCCCCTCCCGTTCCCCCAGGAGCCACGCTGGAGGGGACGGTCAGCCCCAGAGTCACCAAGTTTGGTGATAGCTGCCTTGGGCCTCTCTGCAACCCCTCTGCCTTTCAGTGGAGTGTGAGAGAGGCCGCTCCTACTCCCTGGCTACTTCTGAGTCCCGTCCACATGGCTGAGGCCCCCGAGGCAGGCACGGTCACCATCCACTCGCACTGGGCACCCCAGCAAGCTGACAAGGACACGGAGTGAGCAGGCGGTAGAAGGGACTTGAAAAAGCAGATCCCACGCCCCAGCAGCTACGAAGCTGCAACGCGCTGCTGTCCAGGAAGCGACCCGAGTCTCCCAGGCCCCAGCGCTGCCTCTGGAGCCAGGCACTGAACAGAGCAGAGTGAGGGTGTCCCAAGGAAGGTGGCTCCCGCACACCCCTCCCCACCAGCGCCCAGCCTGTATAGCCACGTCTTGGTCGCCTGGGGACAGCCGAGGCCCACGCGGCCCACAGGAGCTCAGCCAACACCCGCTGGTGAGGACCCGTGAGGTCACAGCTGAGACGCCCTCTCCTGCTGCCACACTTCCAGTGGCCCCACCCCGCCCAAGCCCATCAGGCCCAGCCCCTGTAGGGAACGGGCTCTTCCAAGGCTGAGAACTCCCGTTCCATCAAGCTAATGGCCTCAGAAAGAGCATCCTCTGCGCTTCTCAGCCGCATCTGAAAATACCACACGCGGCCTTGCATCGGGCGCTCCCTTGTCGCCGTGACCCACGGTCCTCACTCTCCAGGCCGTGCCAGCTCCTCCGCCCCTCGCTCACGGGTGGCCTCGGCCTCCCTTCTGGCCTCCTCTGCTCTCTGGCTCCAGGCCACGTCTCCTCTGAACCTGCTGTGCCCCTCAAACGGCATCTCTCGGGAACCCCCGCAGACTGCGCATCTGCCGCCTCCACCCTCAGGCTCCCGGTCACGAAGATCCAAACCCTCGCCTCCCCGGGCCGGCCCTTCGTGGCCTCCTCAAGAGCACTGCACTGCGGCGCTGCTCTGCCACCCAGACCACTGCCGCTTGCAAGGCTGGTGCAGGAGCCTGCAGACCGGCTCACCCCGAGCCAGTCTTGGTCCCATTCACCCTGGATCCGACTCGGCACATAATGAAATGCCTAGAGGATGTAGACAGCTGACTCAGAGAAACAGTAAACGCAAACAGCAAATGCCGTAAACGGCGCTGAGACGATGTTCAACCTCACGAGCGGACAGAGGAACACAGAACTGAAGCAGTAACAGGGCATCACCTCGCACCCCCAGAGCCCATCAGCCCTCCCGCTGCAGGGAGGGAGCCAGGGAGAAACCACGGCGACCTCCGAGGGCTCCGGGGGCGGCTGGGGCAGCAGATGAAGGTGGGAGCCTCTAAACAGACATTGGCACCTCCAAGGGACATGTGTTCACAGCTGGGCAAATGGGAAGGCACAGAACTAGCCCGCGTGTATCGTTTTTCAATGAAAGGTTTACGTATTTATTTTAAAGTGTGCTAGAAGCACATCCACAAACCAAAACAGGACATGGCGAGCATCAGCAAGGGTGTGGAGGGACTGGAGGCCGGCGCCTCGCTCGAGGGATGTGCAATGGGGCGGGGCTGTGGCGAGCAGCAGCGCTTCCTCACAGAACTCAGAGCGTCACGTGACCCCTGGACTCCACTTCTGGGCATGTGCCCTGCAGAATGGACACAGGGTCT